GAAGAATGGCTGCAGTCGGCTACCGAGGAGCCGGTGGATTGCACTCAGTACCCTACTGAGTATCCGGAGGTATTCGGCAGCACTGGTACTCCAAACGAGATGCTGTTGCACCAGGACTACTACGTGAGAACGCTGGAGATAGGGAGCCCCAACGCGGAACTCGGTATCACCAATGACAAGGGCGAAGTAGTGGTGGCAATTGTTCCCACGGTAGTGAATCGTCACTTTGCTTGGAAGCTTATCTTCAGTGTTGGCGAAGCTTCGGAATCTAGCCGCTTGTGGAAACAGTTCGTCTTGCTGGAGCCTAAAGCAAAGCCTGAAGCCAAGCTGTTCGAGGCTTTGGAGGTGGGTTACCTCACCGCAATGGATATGTTGGTATGCATGTCCTTCCACGACCCACAGCGCGTAGGCTCCTGGGACCGCAAGACCCGTGGCCAGTGTATCCTGCAGAAAAGCTGTTTCTTGAACTGCCTTGATCTCTGGGGAAACCCCGATTTTTGCGGAACGGGTGAGGCGCACCTATTTACAGTCGGTGACGATACGACAGAAGCTCACGCAAACAAGTCCAGTCTACCGGTGAACACCCAATTCATACAGAGCGTCGTGGCCCTCCTCCGCTACGGCCGCAGAGACTTCGACAGAGGCCAGAGAAAGCTCATCCACCACGCCTTTAATAACATCCAAATTTCCCACCACGAGCGAGCAACGTTCCTACCATTCCAGTTAGGGGAGTTACGCGAGATCAGTGGAGCAGTCGCACAGCTCGCGCGAGAAAGGAGCATGTGGCCGTGGTGATGTTTTTGCAACTTTTTTTCGAGAGAGACAGAGCATCTCAGTCGCAAAACCGGCACGAAGGTGGTCCGCGCTGATGAGTGGCCCAAGGTCCACAGGAGAGCGGTTCACTGATGCATTCCAGCGGAACGGAGTTGGCAGGTGTCCGTGGCTGGCGGAGGAACGAAGCGAGGGCAGGTTGTCGTGAACAACCGTTGATGAGACCGGGGAAGCCCATGGGCCAAAGTCGACATAGTCTGTTGTTTTGCGAAATGGCGCTCGAAACCCGGCAGAACAGAGGTGCCCGGAAACGGAAGTGTTCTTGGAGCCTGCCTCGATCACTGGAACGTGCCTCGATCTCTACGGAACGGATGAGGCACACCTATTTGTAGATGAATGAGACCATGAAGAATCGGTGGGCGAACACCATTTTGAACTGTTGCTCACCCATCGCTCATGACTTTGCCAGGCTAGGCTCCGAGACGAATTTTATTTCGCAATCAGGATGGCCCGTTCTGCGAAATCTGCTGGAAACGGTTGCGCGAGCACGGAGATGTTCTTGGGGCTGGTTATCGTTGGGACGCAGAAGCCTAGCGTGCTGATGAGCCGCCCGAATTTGCCACTGTTGATGCAATGCGGACGGGTGCAGGATAAATGCATCCGGATCGAGAACGTCCCGAGCCAAGGAGAGTGGGCCACGCAGGAGTCGGAAGAAGTCGGCGTTCCCCATT